TACAGACTATAGAAGGTGTAACAGAATATAATGTAATCGACATCAATTAAACAATTTCGTAATGATTCGCAGATGTCATTCACTTTGACGTGTAGATTTCTGGGTTTGCTTATCATCCACAGTTTCGTCTTCGGACTCAAGGAACCCTTGTGAGTAAAATAATTCACGTGATAAACAGCAAAAGTCGAGAAACAGACAAATAAATGATTTTTATTTAAGAACTTAATGTTTACACACGGTAACAAATTTGGTACGTGGCATAGTCTCACATGTGTAGTCACACCATTAGAAATTATTGTTATTTTAGTGGATTGTGCCGTTTGGGATGTAAAACAAACAGTGCATTATAAAGAAAGAACATAAGAAAAACTATTTATTACGAAAAAATTAAAATAAAAAGAAAGGTGTGTACAAGTTAGCAATCAGAAACAGACTAATTCAATGAATCTTTGTTGCAGTAAAAGCCGTCTGGCGCCTTGAAACAATAGCATAACATATCGACAGCGTTGTATTTCTTAGATATAACTCTAACAGAAGTACGATATACGTATCCAGCCTCTTATCTTACAGATCCGTACCTACTTTTCAGTGCATAAATAAGGGTAACTGCTATTAGCACTACTGAGTGTTTATTTTCCGGAAAAGTCTCATTAGTAAGTAGCGGCTAATTTCCCAAAAGGTAAATTTATATATTTTTGAATGTAGACTCTTACTACTTATAGTATGAACAGATTGAACTCTTATTTACGCGTTCAAAAATCTATGTCGGTAATACTCAAGGAGCTAGTAGATCATCAAGAGCAGACACGCATTCATGTTGTCATGAAAAAAAGATACAGGAACGTAAAAGTAATGACGTCAATTTTAAGTGTTAAGGAAGCCAGATAACCCAGGAAACAAAGAATATATAGAACAGAATTAAGTGGCTTCTAATAAAAAAAATTACTTTAGTCCTCGCGCTCATTTAGTTTTAAAATTCAAAAAAAAAAGTTTGAAACTGATTTTCTCTATCGATTTGAATCATGAACGGTGGGTGCTAAGGAAACAAAAATTTTAGAAGCATTTGAGACGCTGTCGTGTTATATGAGGTTATTATCTGTAGGTAAATATCAAGATTTAAAAGTTTAGAAATGAGAAGGTATTAGAAAGAGTAGATGAACGAGGTCGTTATGGAAGTCAATAACAAAAGGTGAGATAGGTCGGTAGGACACATTCTTACACTTGAAGGGCTAATTAGAAATATATAAAATGAAGCAGAAACAGGAGTTTAGAAAGACAGAGGTAAATCTAGGTCATATTACTCTTTCCGAATAGTTAAAAATGTTTTTCAAGAAATTGGCTGAGGTTAGAAAGAAGTGAACCAGTCTTTGGTATCTGATGATCATGAAGACGATGGTGATGATGGTGATGATGATGATACTAAGAACTCTACATTATGCACATCACTAAATGTTCAAACAGAAAGCTTTTATTCTTTGAGGTGATTTTAGCTTTCATTAGTTTATATTTTTTACAGTTTCTATANTAAGTGTTAAGGAAGCCAGATAACCCAGGAAACAATGAATATATAGAACAGAATTAAGTGGCTTCTAATAAAAAAAATTTACTTTAGTACTCACGCTCATTTAGTTTTAAAATTCAAAAAAAAAAAGTTTGAAAGTTCCTCTATCGATTTGAATCATGAACGGTGGGTGCTAAGGAAACAAAAATCTTAGAAGCATTTGAGACGCTGTCGTATTATATGAGGTTATTATCTATAAATATCAAGATAGAAAAGCTTAAAAATGAGAAGGTATTAGAAAGAGTAGATGAACGAGGTCGTTATGGAAGTCAATAACAAAAGGTGAGATAGGTTGGTAGGACACATTCTTACACTTGAAAGGGCTGATTAGAAATATATAAAATGAAGCAGAAACAGGAGTTTAGAGAGACAGAGGTAAACCTAGGTCATATTACTCTTCCCGAATAGTTACAAATGTTTTTCAAGAAATTGGCTGAAATTAGAAAGAAGTGAACCAATCTTTGGTATCTTATGATCATGAAGACGATGGTGATGATGATGATACTAAGAACTCTACATTATGCACATCATTAAATGTTCAAACAAAAAGCTTTTATTCCTTGAGGTGATTTTAGCTTTCATTAGTTTATATTTTTTACAGTTTCTATAACGCTTCACAGATACAAAAGCCTCATCGTCATAAAGTCATCAGTCCCAAGACTGGTTGGACACGCATCTCCACTCCTTCCTATCCTAAGCTAATCTTCGCATTTACCTAAAACTAGAACATCCCACATCCTGTACTATTTGCGAACAGTAATCTAATCTATGTCTTCCTCTACTCCTCTTTACTCCTATTTCTGCCTTTAATATGTCTTTGACTACTAGCGCTTCATGCCTTAGCAGGTGTCCTATCAACCTATCTTACATATTTCTTATTGACTTCCATAGTCCTTTGTTCACCCAATATTCACCTAGATATCTGCTGTTGTCAGACCCCTTTTATTTCTATTTCGCTTCCCATTTTATTACAAGCTCAATTGTTAATTGAAGGTGTTTGCCTAAACATATAATGTATTTTTTACTTATACAGTCGACTCTCGATAATTCGAAACTCGAGGGGCTCTTAAAATATTACGAATTATTGAGTGTTTGGAATATCAAATGGTTCGAAATTTAATCTTTCTACAACGAAAGAGTAACAATAACTGAAACATAACTAAACAAACCAATTCGTGCGGAAGTGTGTGTCAAACTAATCATAACAAAAGCAAAGGCTCGACGATACGATGATAGAAGTTTGAACTTTCTATCTCTTTCTCTTTGCAACTTTGAATTGTCGTGTGTTTGGCGGCGATGAGTTCGAATTGGCGCGTCGTTTTGTACCCTAGCAATGATTTTTTTCGTTCGAATTACCAAGTGCATAAAAATGTATTGATTTAGTTCGAAATATAAAGAGATTTTGTAGGGAACTCGTGATAACTTTGAATTAAAGAAAGGTTCGAATTATCGCACGTTTGAATTAACGAGAATCGACTGTATGTATTTAAGTATAGTTGTACTGGCAAGCACTTGAATGGTGCAACTCTCATACCGAGAATTGTCGTCACTATAAGAGTAAGTAATCCAGTAGCTCTTCCGGAGATTTTATCATCTTAAAATGACTCGTGGCTTACACCTGAAGTTTACGACGTCTCTCTTCGATTCTTGCAACCAATTTTAACGCTTTAACAAACACATCATCGACCCTTTATTCTTCTCGAACGACAACTGAACAAAACCTTAAAATTTTATTTGCCATTTCGAATGAGCTAGGACACTTTCAAGCAAACAAACATTTACAATGATAGATACACAAATGAGAATTCCAAAGGAGTATCATTTCGCACTGATGACTGGTACAATCAAATACATGATTTCTTTTATTGCTTTTATGAAAAGAAAGTAAAATTGTCTGTGCTTTTATTATTTTGTTATGAAAAATCATTTACCTGTCTACATGAAAGTCGTAACATTGATTCTCATTGTACTATCATGATTCTTCCATTAGAAATTACATTTTGCATTATGTTTTGCCTTGGCTGTACTTATTTTTTTTCGAGAGACAGTTCTGGAAGTTACGTATTTTACTAATGACTAAATTGATAGAAAACTGAACAACAAAAGATCAAGAACGATCATCATGAAACCGTTGAACATGCTTCTCCCATCTAAAAACTGTCATTTAGGATTTACCTATCAAACGTTTGGCAAACACAATTGAATTAGTGATGTTTATTAAGTTATGAATTAGACGTGGTTTCCTTCAAATTGATTGTAATTTTACCTATTAGGCAAACAATCGATTGATTAATTTAAGAAGTAGAAAAGAGTTTCGACAAAAACTATCTTTTTTGTTCTAAAACGTCTGAATTTGATGGTGAACGAGCATCAGTTATAGGTTTTCCTTCGGAAATTTTATAGTCGGAAGTATTTCCGCGTGTTCCATCGCGTTGCATCGTTCTTCCTGCGACTTGCATCAATTTTCCTACTCGGTCTTATCATGCACCGTAAGTCCAAGCGAGCACCGCTAGATCGCACGCACATCGCGTCACGCCGCCGCCTCGCTGCCGCCGACGTCGTACCGCCACCGCCAAGGCAGCCGCGATCGTCGCGGCTTTGACGCGAATTCAGTATGTGACTGAAACTCCGTTGGAGTTCGACGTGTGTGTTGTCAAGCTCTCAGCGTCCCACACGATCGCGCTACGTACTTTTCTTACGTACAAGTCTCCTACTTACGTGGTGTTAAAAAAATTTCCCCATTGGAAGATTTCAAGTCAGCCTTTTTTACACTGTTATACTATGTTTACGTGTAATGGGAGAAAGTTTTAATAACTTCGATTGCAATTTTTTTTTAAAGTTGCATCCTGAAGTTGTAAAGGAAGTGGTGGCGTTTAGTCGGTGGTGACCCCCGGGGTGCTAGCGGTGCCGTTTTCAAGAAGACTCGGTCACCCGGGCACGTCGTAAATTCACGGAAAGTGTCCCGCCGTCAAATCAGAGTTACGAGCGTCAATAAATTAATTTATGAGTCATAAACGGGCTCACTTTACACAATGTGCTTCAATTTGATTTACAACAACAGCAATAAGTAAGTGGGTGGTGGGAAATTTCGTAGTTATTGTTGTTACTGTTGTTTGTTTACACGTGCCAGCGGACGTCTTCGTTGTTTTTCCATCTTTTAGACTTTCGATATAAAGAACATTGAACTCAAAGGTTTGCTTTTGTTTATTTTCATATTATCCGTCATCGTATTCCCTTTGGATTAATATTGTTTGGTGATCTGTTGTGGAATTTATTACCAATCACCTGGACTAATTTGGACGCATCGTTCTGCTGTGTGTTTTTATTTGTCTTTCGATGCTGTGATCCGATTCCGCGATAATCCTCAACATCTCGGACCCGGTGGCGTGCGCCGCGCCAACCCTGTACGACCATGTGCATCCCCCCGGATCCTCCCCAGCCACCGGAGCGGGGTCTTCCACCGGGGTGACTTGGTGGTCGATGATGAACGGCGGCTTATACGAAGAAAGTCCACCACCAGCGCCCCAAGGAGCCGCCACCCCCATAAGCAACAGCGGAATGACGAGTCCGGCGACCGCGACGGCCCCGGCTGCCACCACGTCGGGGACGTCGTCGTCGTCGCCGTCGAGTGTGACCAGCAACAGTGGTTCTGCTGGTGGTCCCCTTCATATCCCCGCAAAAAGGCTAACTACCGGTGGTTATGGCGGCGAATGTGCGGAACCTAGCGTAATCAGACATTCCCACCATGGGCAGCCGTGGAACTATTCTCCATCGGAGAACCACCACGCTGGGGCCACAGCGTTCGAACCCACGGTGGGATTGAATCATCACCAATATGCAAACGCGCCCACATACTATAACCTGGCCACAGATCCAACGGGTGGTCGTGATAGCCGAAAATCAGCCGCGTTATCCTTCTGGTCACCTGCTGCAACAGCCGCTGGTGGTGCCACTCCAGAATATAAGTACTCGAGTGTAGCAGGTGCAGGTGGTCCTGCCACAGATCCAGCTGTGTCTTCCTGCCATCAGAGTTTTTCCACGTCCTCCTGGTGCAATTATTCGCCGTATTCTTCGGCTTCTAGGCACCATGTTGACCATCAGCCTGTTCCTTATTTGACCCCAGCGGATGAACGCAACCGAGTTGCCGCGGCGATGGTCGAGAGCGCGGGTTTTGCTCACGCTCACGATGGCAGTTATGGACTGAGAAACTACGGCCCGGAACCTGTTCCTTCAGCACCTTACCCACCACCAGGTAATAAATTATATAATAGGCAAGGGTTCATTCACTGGTACACGTCGCAAACTGTTTAAAACGCATCTGACACATTATTGCCAATCCTATCGCTACTTACACGCTTTTCTTCTGCTATCCTTTATGCTGCAGTTAAAATTAATACACTGTGTTCCGATATAACTTTACTTCACAAGTAAATGGAATGTAATATAATTTTCTTTTGTGTGTACAATAATTGGTTAAGTCGTTGTGCGTAGGTGCTTATTTAATATTTAAGTTTCTCCTTAAAATATTAATCCAGGTAAATTTACTCAAAGTCACTAGATGGCACTACAGGTATAAACGAGAGAGCAAAAAAATGTGTTCCACATTCTCCAGTTGATTTCGTGATATGTGGGACGCTGTAACAGATGTCTGCTGTTTATAATATCATCTTGATCAGAGCAGAGTTGAACTGACGAAATTGCCAGGTTACTGCTTGACGAAGCAACTAAAACTGGCGCTTGTGAACTGTACGGAAATTAACAAACTGAATATAAACGTGAATACGACATAAAAGAGGTCGTAATTTTAATTAATTCATTCAAAATTCATGTTGGTCTAGGTCAGTTTTACGAATCCAACAAACCGAATGTCGTTTGGTTTTTATGTGTTAATAACTCCCGTGTCTTAACAATGTAATAGGACAATAAAATTTTATGGCTCTTTATTTGTGCAATGAAACAAAATGCCGAGATTCGTTTGTTTACGTATATTTATATTTTGGTTCCTTCTCCGATGCTCTCTCTTACTATCTCACGAGTCCCACAAGCTTTATTCAGAACATTGTTTTTGTGCAATTAATACAAAAGATAATTATTACGTAGAAAGTTATAATGTCGATAATCCAATTACTGAAACGGTTGTCTTGTTTATTGAAATTGTCCTACGTAATAATATGTAATATATTTGTTGACTTTTGTGGAAATGGTAGTTGCAGATAGGTATAACACAAAAAGTCGAAGAAAGTTTTTGAATGAAAATCAAGATTATTTGAAATTAAACAGTTCTTTAATAATCCAAGACAGTTAGAAAACAGTATCAACAGTAAGTAATTCACACCTTATTTTCAACATGCCTTTATCCTTTTTGTTTTTTTTTTTTGCAAATGCAATTAGAATGTTTTGGTTTTTGTAACAGCTATATTCATAGTTTTTGTGTTGACAGGTTCTTTAGGTAGTATGGGTGTAGGTGTTCCATGCGGGGGATCCAACCCTCTCGAATGGACGGGTCAAGTAACAGTACGCAAAAAACGTAAACCGTATTCGAAGTTTCAAACGCTCGAATTAGAAAAAGAGTTCCTGTTCAATGCATACGTTTCCAAACAAAAACGTTGGGAATTGGCGCGAAATCTGAATCTGACGGAACGTCAGGTGAAGATATGGTTCCAAAACAGACGAATGAAGAACAAGAAGAATTCGCAACGACAAGCTACGCAACAGCAAAACAACAACAACGCTACGACCAACAATCAAAATCATCACGGTCACCACGTAGGTCATCATCCTCACGCACCCCATCACGTGGTTAGTCAGCACGTCGCCACAAACGGGACGTTAAAGCATCATCAGTGACCAATGGCGTTTTCTGGGGTTGGATTCGGTCATCAAGGAGTCGGACCTTAATTAATGACTGTAGAGTGTATGTATAAAAAAAGTGCGTAGATATTCTCGTCCAATCCCAGATGTTACTTCGCTGTGCCAAAGTTTGCAAAAAAAAAGAAAAACGATTTTCCAGTGATAGTTTCCTTCATTTTCTCTTTTAATTTAAGGACCTTAAGGTTACTGTTAAATATCATAGGGCACGTGCAAACATTCTAGCTTTCTGACTCGAACGTGATGGATATGTTCGACAATTATTACAAAGTCAGTCATACCATGTTTACGTACTCGAATGGGAAAAAGAAACGAAAAATAGAAGAATTTCATCTTTCTCTGTAAATAATTACACACACAACACATTATAGACATTTTGTTTGTCCTAGGTTCATAAGTTAATAATGTACTCGGTGTCATTCTAGTATATAAAAGAAAAGATGAAAATGCGTGTATAGTAAATTATTTAATTCCAAATGCGACGAGGGAAGGGATGATCGACAGCTTTTATTTATAAAAGTTTCGGATTAGATAATTAGATGCTCAATGCTGCAACTTGTAACGCTACTTAATTAATTAATGTATCATGTCGCTGGCAAATTATTGTAAATATTACAGATTAGGTACCTGTATAAATTTTCTGGCTTGTGTATACGGTTGCGAATTCGCAGGATTCAAGTCTTAGTAAAAACAGGAAAGTTGCGGACAACCTTCAAACGAAACCATTTTTTAAGTATAAATTTCACTTTTCAGTNAGGGAAGGGTAGGACTCGGTTAATATCACGTAATTTTTCTTTTGCATGAAATAGTGTAAAATATTGCGATAAACTGGGTTAAATTAAGTAAATCATGTTTCTCTACTATTCATCATCATAAGGTCGTCAGTCCTGAGACTGGTTGGACACGCACCTCCACTCCTTCCTTTATACAACTGTATGCACAATTGGTAAATATTGAACCAAACAAGATCACATTTGAAAATTCTGTGGTTCGGCATTTATCTGCAGCAATAAACATAATGAAGCAATATTTTCCGGATATGGATAATCGTCAGTCCAGTTCTTGGATATTAAGATCATTTACTACGGATAACATTATTAAAAACGAAGACGTAGCGGCCAAAGTGGAATATCTTGGATTACGCCAGAATACTACTTGCAGAGTAGAATTTCAAAATTATGATCTTAGCATTTTTGGCGAAAAGCTGGTGCCGAATATCCTGCTCTTGCTAATTATTAATTTATAAAAAAAAAAACGATGTTTGTAGAAAAAATTGAATTAAATTGCACCTTTTCTAATAAAGAAATTCAGTTGCTATTATTTTTCTGTCATATGTCACAAAAGTCATCACACTGAAAAATTTGCCGATTATTGAAGTGATTCGCCAAGTAAACGTAGGTGATTCATAACGTCAATCGTACTGTTATTTTATTTTATTTATAGTAATCATTCGCTTCACTGACCGTTAAAGTGCTTTCTTTTCGATTACCATTACCAATGGTGATTTTTTACCATTATTTTTACGTCAATCTACAACTGGCTAGTCATTCCATCGTAGATCGATATTGCGGTTCGATAGGTTTCGTTTGTAAGTTGATGCATCTTTCTGGTCTGCGAAAATGTGATTCCAGGGCGTTTGTTATTGTTACTACTTCCTGTATTGATTTTCGACCTTCGTTGGCATAGACTACTTAGCGAGTAAGCGGAAAAACCTCTCACAAAACCGAATTTAATTGTAGGTAAGTAAAACTATTACTACGTACATCCTCATAGATAGAAAGTACGTGTCATATAGCCAGTAACTAAGAATTTTTTTTTAAATTATATCGTCCGCTGAAATTGACAGTGCAATGTTTCGTACGTTATAGTTACGTGTTAAAAGCTGGTTGTATTATGGCATATCTTTTTTTTTTTTTATATTATGTAAGTGATCTCGAAAATAATTTTAGCATGACCGCAATATGACCCGGAAATTTTGGCATTCGATTGTTATGTTTTCATTAATGTTGATCATTATTAAAAATGTTTTAAACGAGTTATAAATTTGTCATAGGTACGTATATTAATTATATTATTTTTTTATTAAATTAGTAATTTTTTAGCAACCACTTTTTGCATGTTGATACTTAATAGATACAAAATTGAGTACTTATAAAATTGCAATTAACATTTTTTTGTTATACTTAAATTAATATGTAAAATTTTTGACATGTTAAATTTGTTGTTATATGAAAACCAAAATTTTTCGGTCGTATCATCGGTAATTTAGTTTTGTTTATTTTTTTTTTTTTTATAAAAAAAGCTTTTTAAAGTTGAAAAGGTCGTTGTCCGATTTTTTGCTGTCGCGATTCATCGTTTTATTTTTCGAGACCATAATTTTATTGTTGTGTTCAGTACGCATATTGTTGTTTTTATGTATGTATGTGTATACACATATTAATATTTCAATGATAAATGTGTTTAATAATAACTATCTTTTGTTTATATTGTCCATTGTAAATTAATGAATGAATAAAGTATAATCTATAGCGTCTTCTTCTGCACTACGTAGCTACCGTTGGTATATACAGGGTGTCGATCAAACGCAAGAGGTAAGTACATACCAAAAAAAGGTAAGATTTCAGTAAGAAATCGGTGCATTTATTTTTTTACATTTACCCATACTTGTATGAAAATCAATATATAAAAGTAAGGTTGCAACTTACAAATTACGTCTTTAAATGTCGTCTAACCTAATACAGTAGTTTTGAGTGTTATAAGTAATATAAAAACTGGTCACCAGTTGACAATATTTATTATCATTTTATTATAGGGAATACAAAATAATTATGCAATCAAAAGTATAAATATAATAATATAGTTTTCTGAATTATTATTTTTTATAAATATAGTAAGTCATACACATTTCGTAGAATTATCATTCAATTGAAAAAAAGGCAAAAAATTGAAAAGGAAGCAGAACCCAATGAAGCTAATATTTGTGTCGATAAAATTTTTATTTACAAGAATTATAGGTACCTAATACCTATTCACTTTTTCTTCCTTAATCGAGGTTACTTATTTTTAACTTACGCTCGTTAGTAGGTTTAAATTATATATTTTTCAATTTTTTATTTTTTATTCATGAAAAATAGACTAGATGACTTTTAACCATTATTAAGTTTCATCCAGAAGTGAAGACTTGCAGCGCAAACATGCGGCAACGTAAGCAGGCTTTTACGTCATTTAAATTAACATTATGGAAAACGTTAATATATTACTTGATCTTGTCAAAAATAAATGCAAAAGCATGTTACACTAATGTGTTTTGTTGAAATTCAATTCCCTACAAAAACATCATTCATCCCATACCTAATTCAATGCTTCAGTATTAATTTTGCCTAAATCAGAAAATAAAATTCTATTCAAACATTTCCCTAGGCAAAAATTTTCAGTTTCTCAGAGTTTTTGAGAGTCTTTTAGCGTCTCTGAGAGCGTCTCTCACAGTCTTTCACAGTCTCTCAGTTATTGCCTAGGATCTTTTGACAGTCTCTGTATGAAATACTCTAACGATAAAATTATTAATTCAGAGATTCGAGTCTCTCACAGAGGGACTGAATGAATAAAACAGAAAAATTGAGAGACTCGCGTCTCTCGTAGAAAAACTGTATCTCTGAAATATGTTGAACTTAGAAAATTTTAACCATGTCTATCGAGACACCACTTATTGAGAGATTCGAGCCTCTCGTTCGGAGATTCGAGTCTCTCGTACAAAGAGTGGATAAGAATTGAGGATCTCTCTATGAGCGACTTGAGTCTGTCGTTCGAAGACGCTAAACAGTTTTTTTGATAGTCTCTCGACAGTCTCTCAGCGACACCAGAGAGACTCGATGAGACGGAGACTCGAGTCTCGCTTTCAGAGACTCTGAGAGACTGAACATTTTTATCTGGGGTGTTAACACCAAATAGGAAAATCTTTTTGTGCCATATCTTTTTGTACGCTTAAGTAAAGTATTCATTTATCGAAAAATATTGAAATGGGGATATAAAACCTTAATTGCATCGTTCAAAGGTGTCACCTACAATTTTGCACTTTTAACTAACTTTTTTATATGAAGGAATCACAAGACTTTCTAGAATGATGAATTAAGAAAAAATAAATAAAATTAATAATAACGCATACTTCTAATTAATAGTATACACTACCAGCAGAACAAGTTCACGAAATCTAAAATCCATTATATTTTGCAACCTTTTTTTTTAACCAAACCAATGACACAATTATTCTGTCATTAATATACTTCGACTGACACACCAAAGAAATCAATACCTATCTATTATTTATTGGTCCACAAGATAATTTGTGTTGAATGTCACGATAAATTTACCCCTTCAATGGTAAATTATTTATAAAATTTAATTCGTTTTGTTATAAAGCACAATATTGTAATGAATCAAAATCCAATGACACGCACCCATTACTCTTTCTAAAATTTGACCTTAACTCACTATCATGAATATTAAGTTATGGACAAAAATAAATTAATTTTGGAAATTGGTTACATACAAATCATGTTAAATTAAGGTCTTCTAGGAACCTATACAACTATATTGAGTTATTTTCTTGAAAACGAATTCTTTCAAAAATTAGCTTTTTGTACCTTAACTACTAATCTATTATCATCATCATTATAAGGTCGTCAGTCCTAAGACTGGTTGGACACCTACCTCCACTCCTTCCTATCCTGAGCTAATCTTCGTATTTCCCTAAAACTAGAACATCCCATATCCTTATCACAATCAATCAATAATAAATTTCCAAAGGTATAATCTGATTTTGATACCTATACTTTTATCATGAAAAAACATACAAGTGATACTATTAATCATTTCCACTGAGACTGATTTATTTAAAAGTGTTGATAACTGGAATTAAAATCTATAGAGTATCAGGAAAGGCAGGCATAAAAGAATGAAATGCCATTTTGATTATTATCTTTTGGCAGGAAGAGATCTATGTGATAACCATATTGTTATTAAATGCTTATCTTTTATGAAATACATACTGTAGCTAATGTAAGCAAGAGATAAGGAGCGAAAATAACGATCGGTTTTTATGTAAAATTAAATTCAATAAAAAATCAGCCAAATATAATATGTACCTATATTAATTAATTGCAAAAGGCATTAATAATATCCATAATTCATTTGCCTTTATATAAAATTAAGCGAAAATAAGATATATTGTAAACAACATCAAAAACGGTGTCCTAAGTAACAATAAATGATTCACAATGCCCCTTCTTGGTTTATAATGTTATTTAATAAACAGTTACAGTTAAGAGTAATATTCAAAAGTTCAATAGCGAGAAATTGTAAAATTAATACTGTAAAAGGTTTTTTATTTTTAAAGAATAATTAAAATTTCCTAGTGCCCCATAACACACATACATATATATATATATGTATATATATAACCCTTTTAGAAACACCACGAAGATAAAAATTCCTTTTTTCCTATATTTCTCCAAAAATCAATTTGATATTGTTTAAACTGTTAACGGGAAAAAAAAGTAGGGAATGAGCGAATATAAAGATAGGAGACGAAAAAAGAAGAAGTGACCGATTTTTTTAGGTATCTAGGAAGTTAGATAAGTCAGGACGGAAGGAGTAGTAGGGATATAAAGCAGAGGATAGCGCACGGTCGAGTCGCCTTCAATAAAAATAAGTCAACGGTTAATTATGAAATTTGAAAAAGGTTGTTAAAGG